TTTAAGAAAAGTGGTTGGGTTTGTTGCTGTTCATCACACAACAATAAAAATAACTAACAGTAATATATGTATATATACATATATGTGCATATATGCATATACATATATATATATTTAAATCTATATTTTAACAGTGCTTAAAAAACCTAGAGAAAATAGAAAAATTCAAATATTTATATGTTTGTCTTCACTATATACCATTAAAGTGACTGAAGATTTCATTTCTCATTTTTAAAAAAAATCTGGATTTTGACACAGACATAGCCTTTAGAAATCATCTAGGTTGTTGCTTGCCACTGGAATATAAAAATTTTAGTTCATCTTCTTACAGAAAATTTTGATGTATAAGCAGATAAAAAAAGTGAGAGATAAAAAGCAAAAATACGAGCAGGCAGTGTACAGATGTCAAAGCATATTTAATGTTTAGTATTTGAACATTTTTATATCTATAGTTAAAGTAAAGTCCAGAGTGGTATAAGGAAAGAAAGCTCTAAAGAATGATCTGCTTGCTCTCTGGGAACAGGATCCCATGAGTGGACCTAAAGGGAGCAAAGAAAATGAAAGTTGATTCTTAGCCTAAGCTCTACATCCCTAGAGCTCACACGTTTTGAGCTGCCTGTTCATTCCCCACTGGATAATCAATTTTACAAAGAAGTCACTGGGAAATTGTGCATAGGTAGCTAGACAAATTAACACACAATACACACATATTGACTGTACCTATGATTCAACTGGTAGAAGGAATTTCCATTGAGGAACTCCCTCGATCACTGCAAAATGGTGCTTGAGATGCAACTTATAGTCTTAGAGTTGTCCCTTGGCACTGACAGGTTGGCTGATTTGCCCAAGATCACTCAGCCAGTACATGGCAGAGGCAATGCTTGAAATAAGGTTTTCCTGGCTGTGAAGCCAGTTTTCTATTATGCCACACTACTACTTTAATTGAGAATATAATATACATTCATTTATACAGATGAGTAGTCAGCAAATTACTAACAGTGACTTGTGCAGGAGAAGTGACATCAAAGATATTGTGGAGAACATGTACAAAAAGTGAAAAAGAGATTGACTGGTCATACACCAAAAAAGAAATACTGTCAATGACAGGCTGAATGATTGGTGCAGAGCTTATGAAAAGAAATGGAGAGGAATTATCCAGGGTAAAAAGAGTAGTAGAAATTTGCATGGCTAGATGACCAGACCAATGCAAATGTGTTAATCAAATCATCAAACTCTGTATAGATAGAGATATGCGTCTGGTTCATTATCTTCCTCTCCATTCATTCTGAGACCTGTTTTCATGTTAACAACATCTCTGACAGCTTAACCACACAATTCCTCAACCTATTTAACTCCAATGACCTCAATCTTCACTCTGCCTCACCTGCACATTAGTATAGCCACACATTAGACCTCACCTCCTCTTAAGGTTATACTCCTTTCAAGACCCAGAACTTTAAAATTCTACTCTCTTACTGTAATATCTTATCCTTCGATCTCTCCTACTCTTTCATACTAAACATAGTCTCTTCTTGTCCTAATCTTTAGTCCCTTGGCCCATCACCATTCTCCTAGTCACTCTACTCCCTTCTGGCTTCATTTGATTCCACATTTTACCCTTATCCCATGATTTCCCACTTTAGAGAGTTGTTTTTATTTTCTTTTTAACCACTATTTCAAATTCTCTTACCTTACCCCTTACTCCTATCCTGAACTTTTGCTGTCCCTGATCAATAAATTCCAATTACTAAATAAACTGTCTGATTTCACTTCTATTGCTTCCAGTTTAGTGAATATCATTCCAACCAAACTGGCCTTCTCTTTATTAATTATACATGACACTCCATCACCTATCTCCATGTCTTTTAATTGGCTGTCCCATATGCCTGGAATATACTTCCCTCTTTAGGTCTGCTTAATAGAGTTCCTCTTTTTCTTTGAGATACTTATTATGAAAATATTTCCTGATCCTATCAGTTGTTAATGTCCCACCTCTCAATGGCTTTGTAAATATTTGCATTTACGCACTTAATATTTATGCCATATATTGTATATGCACTTTTTTCATACATTAAAATGTAAGCTCATTACAAAGAAGGATTGTTTGGGTTTTTTTGTGCACGTATCACCAGCATGTAACACTTTGACATATTGCAGGTGGTTAATAAATACTCATTGATTGATAGATCTATTGGCTACATCAGTCCATCAATCGATACATATGTATTAAATGTCTGCTATGTGCCAGGCACTGCTTTAAGTATTGAGGATGCAAAGGAAGACAAAAAAAAAAATTCTTGCTCTCAAAGGAAACAATATGAGAACAATTATGTATAAATAATATATACATATCTATATGATAAATTAGAGATAAAAAAGAGGGAAGGTAGCATTAAAGGAAGTCTTCCCATAGAAGATGGAGTTTTAGCTGGGACTTGAAAGAAGGAAGGAAGGGAAGCCAAGAGGCAAACATGAGGAGGGAGAGACTTCCAGGCATATGGGACAGTTAGAGAAAATGCCCAGAGTTGAGAGGTGGGAGTATCTTAGGTAAGGAACAGAAAGTAGGCCAGAGTCACTGGAGACTCAGAGTTTGTGATTTTTAAGATGTAAAACAGCTATAAAAATAGTAAGTATCCAGATTATGAAGGCATTTAAAGATGAAAAAGAGGATTGTATTTGATCCTGGAAGTGATAGGGTCTTATTGGAGTTTACTGAATAGCGTGGTCAGACCTGTGCAGAGGATCAAGTTGATAGCTAAATGAGGATGAATTGAAGTGGGGAAAGTTGAGGCAGGGAGAGCATCCAGAAGGATATTGAATAGTTCAGGCATGAGGTGATGAGGGCCTGTCCCAGGATCCTGTATTTATATATCCCACATATAGAACTATAACTTATAGTTAATTTGGCAAAATACTGTATAGATAACTTGGCATAGTAGAATGAGTACTTGTCTTGAAGTCAGAAGAGATGTGAGATGAAATCTCACCTGTCACTTACTGGCTATGTTATTAGAGCTCAAGTCACAAATTCCCCCGAGCTATTTTCTCCTCTATTAAATTGAGATGATAATATTTATGGTATTGACCTCACAGAAGTATCAAAAGAGATAGAATGCATAAAGCCTTTTGCATAGCTTAAAGCACTATAGAAATGTAGTAGCACAGTGGATAATTCATAGGACCTAGAGTCAGAAAGAGCTGAATTCATGTTCTGCTTCATATACTTCTTAGCTCTGTGAACTCAAGCCAGTTGCTTAACATCTATCTGTCTCAGTTTCCTCATATGTAAAATGGAGATGATTAATAATAGCTCCTACCTCCCAGGGTTGTTGTGACAATTTAATGAGATCGTATTTATAAAGCACTTTTTCAAACGTTATAATATAACTGTGATTGCTATTAATCACATCTTACATACGTACATGTAGGTTGTGAGTGATAACTTTACTATCCTCATAACTATTAAGAAAAGGCCACTCTTTGTGGCATAAGATCATCTCTAGACATAATATCTATTTGTATCTCTCCTGAGATTCTGTATTAAAAAAATTCAGCACACAGAAAAAAATAATTTTACTTCAAGATTTTTTAAAAAATTACCCATGACGTCTTTTTAAAACTGATTTATATTTTAGACCATATTTGCTACTGAAGTATTTATGATTAAACTTCTTAGTAAACATCTCCAACAGTGCAACTTAGATTCATCCCTGAAGTGATAAACCTGGTGAGGCTACTAAGCCTGTAGAAGAAGCATGATAAGACATGTATTGTCTATTTTAAGAAGATTATGAATAAGGATGAACTACTCAGTTGAGTGAGATAGTTCCAGAACTTTTTACTATTACGTAATAATAATAGCTAGTGTTCATAGAGTGTTTTAAGGTTTGCAAAGTGCTTTGTAAATATCATCTCATTTTATCCTCACAACAACCCTGAGAGGTAGGTGCTATTTTTATCCCCATTTTGCAAATGAGAGAACTGAGGCAAACTGAGGTTAAATGACTTTCCCAGGGTCACACAACTAGTAAGTACCCAAGGCCACATTTAAACTCTGGTTTTCCTAACTCCAAATCCAGTGCTCTCTCCTTCTAATAAATATCTGTATTATCTAGGTTTTCAAAATGTTTTCTCAATAAGCTAGAAACCATTATTTGCTTTTTTAAAAGAAGTATCAATTTGTCATGCTCATATAGAAAGGTAGGCTGGATCCAGACTCTGAAGGGCTTCTAGTGGCAACAAGAGGAGTGTGTATTTTATACAACAAGCAATAGGGCACCACAAGAGCTTTTTGATCAGGTTGTAAAAAAGGTCAGGCATACTTTAGGGAGATTGGCATCTGGGTGAAGGATAGATTGAAGAGGAGAGAGACTGGGGACGAGCACTACAGATTATCTCAGCTTGTACTGATCAGTACATCTGATTAAGAAGGGGAGAGAAGGACCTCAGCAAAATGTTCAGCAATGTGTGGGTCCAGTCTTCTAGCTCATCCTGTAATAACCATGAAACAACAGATTAAGGAGAAAAATATATCCATATCTTACCTATGTAGTTCATATGTGTATGTATACATATAGCTTATATATATAGTTATTTCTTGAACTGTCATTGTATGAAAAAAACAACAAATTCCAGAACCCTTATTACATACCTTCAGTGAGTCACCGGCTGAAAAAGGTTGATTTTAATGAGATGGAAAGGAAGCGAATATGCTGTGGTCACTCTCTATTGGTAACGAAACTCCTTCCATTTGTTGTGTTTAATTTAGGACAAAAAAGGAAAACATGAATGCTGCTAAGGGTCCCAAATTCCCACTCTTTCTCTGTTTGCTTTTTCTGAATGTTTCTGCCTGTGTGCTCTGTGTACTAATGCTAACAGTATAATAAAGGCTTCCAGGATAGAGGTATCTTTTCCTATTTGTATTCCACACAAGAGCAGAATAGACTTTAGAAGCTTGTGTGAATAAGTACCTGAATTTACTGATGTGTATTCCTAGCATTTCAGAGAACCAAGAGCCTCCCTTGTGCTGCTGTCCCCTTGGATCACAAAGGGTTAGCCCAACTACTGAAAACAGAAATACCTGAAGAAGATTTGTTCATCATTCAGTAAGTCATGATCCCTGAACCAATGCTTCATCAAAAATGTAAGTCATTGCTGTGTTGTGGGACTGCTGCCTTTCCAGTGCAAAAGAGGTCTTGAAGACTTATGATCACCAAGGAGAGCAAAGTAGCCTGTGGAGAAAGGAGGAATATGGAGTCTGCATTGCAGGATCAAATCCTGTCACAGTATCAAAGCTCCCACAAATCATTATGATAAAGAGAATTCAGTACTGGGAAAAGCTCTTCTTGTTTAGCTCGAAGTAGATAGATCAGATTAATATATCTATTACATTTTGGAAGTTGATGAAAATAATTTGTTTAACTATCCTTTTTTAAAAAAATATCAAAACCAGTCACATATGTTGTTGACTACTGACTTCATGAGTATGATAACCCATTAGTAGCTTAATTTTAGGAATAAGAGAACTGAGACTCAGTTTAAATGAATAGTAAACTGGAAAGATTCTTGGATAATGAGCCAGTGACTCTGGGTTCTAGTCTCGGTAATGCCACAAACTAGTTGTGGGACCTCCACGTATCACTATACCTTCATGTGAAATGAGGAGGTTGAAATAGACATAAGAAAATGTCCAATGGAGAACAACCAGGATGGCTCAGACTTAAATTTATGCCAAATGAAGATCAGTTGATGCAGTTAGGGATGTTTAGCTTAGAGAAGACTCAGCTGGAAGGTTTCTAATAGCTGGCTTCAAAACTTGCAGACTTTTCTTGGGAAAGAAGGACTCGACTTGTTCTGCTTGGCCCCAGAGGGCATAACAAGGAAGGACAGGTTGTAAAATTAGATTTGCTGTAATAGCTCCTCACAATTAGAGCTATCCTTAAGTGCATTGGGTTGCATTGGGAGGCAATGAGTTCCTTCTCATTGCAAGTCTTGAAGCAGAGGCTGAATGATCAATTACAAATTTGGTATGTATGCTATAGAAGGAGTTATTTGGAGGGTATGGATCATCCCTACTGCTTTTAAATCCTGTGATTTTTTGATCCCTTTCAGTTCTAAAATTCTCTAATCCTATGATTCATTTAAGGTCATGCAGGTAGTTCTTGGCTGAACAGAGATCAGAACCTCCTGACTCAGAGCCTAGTAGCTATTTCCTCCAGTGGCAAAGTATGTGATGATCCTTGATTTGCAACCTCTTTGAAAGCATATGAAAGGAAATTTGCTATAAAAATATCTATAACTCCATGTTCATCAAAGGAAAGATTTGCTGCTAAACTACAACCTGTATCTACATGGCAATGTCAGGATGCAATACCACTGAGTCATGCATATGATGCTGTATAATCTCCTGACATGACTAATATTCCTTTCTCTAATTCTTATGTGAGGCTACAGTAGGGTTTTGGCAGTTCAGCCCATTGATATTTGGATTTATCATTTTAATACTTCCATAAAATTCTTGTTTGACCAGTTCTGGTTTGTTGGTTTGCATTTATAGAAATGGTTTCCAATAAGTAAGCTCTGAAGTAGTTCTCTGATCTGTTACCTGAAGATCTCCAGGAAGAAGGATGGAGTTTAAGATAGAATGACATCTGTCTGATCACAATGCAAATAAAATTGATCGAGTTAACTAAATCTCCATATGCTGGGTACTATTCTTAGCACATACAAACTTATTTTGTAGAATATTAACATCTGTTAACTCTTAAGCCTTCACTAAACTTGTTAGAACTTTGTTGCTTCACCAGTATTAATCTCTTGCCCTAGGCTTCTTCATAGATTTAGATTTAGGGTTCATTGATTTAGAGCTGGAAAACACCTTAAAGGGCATCAGGTTCAACCTCCTCATTTTGTAGATGAGGGAGCTGAGCCTAGAGAAATGAATTGACTTGTCTAAGGTCATACAATTGAATGTGGAAAAGGCAAAATTCAAAAGTCTTGACTTCAAATCTATTACTCATTCTATCAGAGCTGATACCTCCTATATCAAGTTTAACAGAACTATAAGGGACTTCTATGTGGATACTTCATAAATGAAGTTAGCTGCAAGTTTTTTTTTCTGTAATAACTGATTCTCTGTAAATTTTAAGATCTGGGATATAGTCTCTGCTTCATTTTTATCTTTGTATGACAGTTAACATTGTCACCTGACATCTATTACATTTCTATAAACTCTCAAGAAAACATGAAACAATAAGAAATTACAAAATGGCCTAAGAAACAAATGAAACCCACAAAATGTCAAATTAAGAATGAATGGAGGTTACATTTATGAACTTTAAATGAAGAATTTTTAAATTCATTTAACAGATAAGAAAAATAAATTCACAGGGTATATGGAAACATATTTCTATGAAAGGTGACAATGGACAAGTCAATTAATCTACATGGACTGCAATGGATTCATCTATAATATTTGTGGAATAAATAAGCTAGATGATTTCTATATACTCTTTCACTTTTAACCCTGATAAGGTATTTCCAAATTAAAATTTCATCTTCTCTCAAAAGTGATGTCCCTCAAATACAATCTTTTGATTTTCCAGGTTTTGATCATATTCTGTTCTGATTTTTCTCATCTCTACAGAATAAATTTGTGGCCATTGAGTTTCTTTTCCTTCGTATTTAAAAGTGTTTCTCTATACTGCTTAAAATGTTCAATTTATCAAACGGTTTAAATGTAATGAGTACAAGCCTTGGAGTTTGAAACACAGATTGTTGGTTTCTTACTTCATTTTTATTTTCCCTGAAAACAATAAATGGGTTCCCTTTATTGATGCTTTATTGACTGGATTCAGAAGTTTTGGACACCCCTCCTACATTATTCACTATATTCTAGTGATGAGTTTTTATAATTTATCATGGTTTTCTGGGAGAACTGTGATTGTTAAGTTATGTCTAAGAAGCTTGTCTTCAAGGTCAATTGCTTTGGTTTATATGGAATTCATAATTTCTTTTGATGCTGCCTTTCTCTTCTTTTCTTCCAGTTTTCCTGCATTTCAGTACTTCTATCTTTCAAATGAGCCCATCTCTTTTTACTTTTTAAATATGTATTTTCCACCTTGAATTTTTTTCTTTTGCTAATTTAAAATTCCTCATTGAGTTCTAAAATCTGATCCTAATTTGTTCCATGGGTTCCATTTGACTTTTGAAGAATTTTGAAATTTCTTATTGTTCCATGTTCTTTTGATAGTTCAAAAAATTCTGTACCTCACTAAGAACACATTGCTTCACTTTATTTTGTATTATAGTATTTTAAGAGAGTTTTTATTAGCTTTAAGAATTTACTCATCCCCTTTTTTGATTTTAGGATTCTCTTTGTTAATTTATCTGCTTGTGCTATAGAATATTTTTGAGGCTTTGCTTCTTGAAATATTTGGTGTTTCATCCCTTTGTCATTTACTTCCTATCCTCTTTCCCTTTGCTCATGAATAGATCTTTCAGGATTAGCTTGAGAATATGGAGAACATAAGCCTGGGTCCCTTCCTGAGTACTGTCTGTAGTAATCATGTGCTAATAATTTCTTGGCAGGGGGTGGGAAGGGGAGGGGAGGGAGAGTTACAAAGTTAAAGTACCTTGGGAAAATGATTAATTCCCTATCTTACTGGCCATAAGACCTAGAAGTCTTATTGATTTTTCAGATACTATCACTTATCACTATGAAGCAAGAGCAATTGGCGTATGATTTTAATCACTCTGACATATCATCACAACATTGCTTTTAAAGGTCCAGGGATTGTTTTAAAGAGATTTTCACTTTAGTGTGAATATGTTGGTCCTATACACTGCTGGGGTAATGTGGCTTTGGAAGAAAGATAGAGTTATCATTTTCCCATGCTCCTATAGGAAATTCAAGTCATTTCTCTGAATTGTATTTTCTCACCTGTGTATCTATTGTTTCCACCAATGAAATGTAAGTGCCTTGAGTAGAAATTGCTTTATTTTTGTCTTTGTGCCTGGCACTTAGCATAGCGTCCTATACATAAAATGAAAAAACGTTTTGTTGCTGTTGTTGAATTGAATTAACTCTCCCCGCCCCACCCCCACCAATTTGAGAAAACAATATTTTGGTGGGGAGGATGTGTACATGTGTGTGTGCACATGGATATTTTCTGTGAATATCACCGAACCAAAAATGTGGAGTGTAGATGAAGACAGTAATTAAAACAATCATGCCATATGGATTCATTTTTGTGTACTGCCCAGACTTTGGTTAATTTTTTGGGTTTTTTTTTCTTAGAATGAATAATCAAAGAGAGATCTGGCCACCTCGGGGTTTGCTCTAACTCTGATGCTATAAAGAAACAGCAACACTGAGGAAGCAAAACAGATTATCCTTGTGTGCCACAAAGAAAACTCTATTGAGATCTTCACATTTCTACTCAAAGAGTATTGCCCATCTGCCTTTTTGATCTGAACAGATGCTGTCTTTCATCTGAACAGTTGAGTATAATGCAGAGTGATTTTTCAAAAGCAATAAATCCCAACCTTGCAAGTATTTGTCCACTAATAGTGGGCAAATTAGACTATCATTGATTATTATCAATCTTGACTTTCACTTAAGCATGCGTGTGCTGTATTGCTTGGTCTGGTATTAATATCAGAGAAATTTAGTTATTTGACTATTTCTTTGTCTCTTCTCAGGCAGCACTGGAAATGCATTTTAAAGCCTTTGCATTATTATGTTGGCAGATAAACTATGACAGAGCCAGTGGAATTGATCATAATGCCATAGATGTAGAGCCAGAAGGGACCTCGGAGTGCATCTAGACTGACCCCCTCATTTGATTGAGGAGGAAACTGAGGCCCAGGGAGGTTAAGTTACTTAAGTTTACAGAATCAAAGACATATATAGGGAAGGGACCTCAGGGGTCACCTAATCTAATACCCTAATTTTATCTGCAAAGGGGTTCTGGCAAATGAACAGACCCCATCAACTTTTTCTGCTGATGTAACCTTCACAAGGAGAATGCTGGGAAGTTGCTTCTGGAAAAATCTTGCTGATGAGTAAAAGAAGTGCCTTGTAGAAAATGTGGCACATGCATGGCTATGATGTGATAGATTCTAATTGGCTAATCACATAGTTGGGAGAAGCCTTTTTTTTTCAATTGGCAGAAGCCCAAAATGGATTCATAACCAGAACTGTTATGTCTTCAGAAAGGTCCAAGCCATCTTCAGCAAACTCTTTTTGCTTTATTTGCATCTAAGGGAGCTTTGTGACACTTTCATTCATGGCCACTGGTGACAGACCATGTGGTAATGGGGCAAGCCTTATAGCCTTCTTCCCCTCTGAGACCATTTGGCACTCCAGAAAGCGATCTAGGTTCCTGGTCCTTTTGTTTGTTCCATTCTGCATAAAAACAGTAGTCTCCAACCTTGGAAAAGTGAATGACAGGAATCCACATTCCAAACTCAAGTCACACTGACGTGTGGCTCCTGAGGAGCAAGAAACAATCTTTGGAAGCAGCCTTCAGAGCCCTAGTCCATTTGACCAGAGTCGTGTCACATATGAACATGAACTTGATGGGAATGATGAGATATAGCAACTGCTAAGGTAATATAAGTAAGAGTATTCCCTTGATGTGTTTAAGGAAATAGTTGTACTTTGTTCTTTAAAGTAAATATATCTTTGTAAAAGCTAATTGATCTTAAGTATTTAAAAGGAACTTGGGTCCTAGTCATGGAGCCCCTGACAATATGGAGAACAAGAAAAGAGTGGGCTCAACAATAGCCAAGAAACCCCTACCAAGGTGGAGTCAGAGTACACATGTTATATACAGAGGAGGAAACAGAGACCAAAGGAAGCTAAATGACTTACCAAAAGTCACAGAAATTGTAAAAAGTTAAAAGCAGGATTTGATGAACTGAGACCACCAGAGACATTGCTCACCACAGAAATGATGCTTCTCTCCCAAATGTCTCCAGTGACTTCTTAATTGCTAAATCTAGTGTCCTTAAAAGGATTCACAAATGAGCAGAACAGCTCTGAGAGTTGTACCTTAAATTTACTATTTATTTAACCCCACTTTCCTCCCCCCAAAGCAGGCTCAATATAATAGAGATTTGCAGTTTCATCTGTAATCCTCTCCTTCTGTTCCACAAAATAAAAGGAAATGTTTGTTTTATTCAGCGTGTAAGTCCAGAATAAATATAAACAAACAAATAAAAAGATAGTTGAATAAACGAATGAAGCTGAGGGAAAAATTTAATGAAATACACTCATCCTTCATCTTGTTTGACCTTCCTAGAGCTTTGAACATTGCTGACCATCCCCTTCTTTTTGATACATATGCTGATCCCTTGTCTTTTGTACTATTGTTCTCTCCTTATTGGTCCTACTTCTCTGATGGCTATATTTCATTCTTCTTCCCTGGTTCATCTTCCTTCTCCTGCCCACAAGATTCTGTCCTCATCCCTCATCTCCTTTCTCTTCCTTGGCAATCTCATCTCCTCCTATGCTGGAATCATCTATGCAAATAACTACCAGATCTAGAAATTGAATTCTTGCCTATTCCCTAGACTCCAGTTATTCATTTTCAAATGCCTGTTGCACATATCTGCCTAGAACTCCTGACAGTACTTGAAATTCACTATGCTTTTTTTTAAAAAATCTCCTCCTATCCCCAACACCACCTTATTCCAAGTCCACCCTTTATTCTACCTTCCCTATTTCTATTTATGACAACATTGTCTACTATTCGTTCAGGTTCAAAACCAGAGAATCATCTCTGTCTCTATCCCTTTCTCTCTCATCTTACCTCTGACAATCAGTTACTAAGTTCTGTTGATTCTGCCATTACAACAGACAGTTCTTAATGTTTCTTGTGTCATGGATCCTTTTGATAGTCTGGTTAAGCCTTTGGATCCCTTCTCAGAAAAATTATTTCAGTGCAACAAAGGAATATACAAAGAGTTGCAAAGGAAATCAATTACATTATACAACAGAGATAGAGATATTGTGTGTGGGGTGGGGGGAGTTAAAGAAACCCTGATTAAGAATTCTTGCTCAAAGGGATAGCTGGGTGGCACAGTGGATAGAGCACTGGCCCTGGAGTTAGGATTCAAATCCAGCCTCAGACACACATAACATTTACTAGCTGTGTGACTCTGGGCAAGTCACTTAACCCCAATTGCCTCACAAGAAAGAAAAAAAAAAGAATTCCTGCTCAAAGTCCTTTTGTATTTTCCACCCTTGTTTGGGCTTTCAACACATCTTATCTGGTCTATTTATTGGATTAGCCTCACAACTTGTCTACCTACATCCAGTCTCTCTCCCTAGTATAAAACATAGTCCTGAGAATGTCTCTCCTCTTCTCAAAACCTTCACTTGGCTCTTACTCCTAGAATAAAATACAAACTCAACGTGGAATGCAAGAACCTCTGCAACTCGGCTCCAATCTACATTTCCAACTTAATGCACATTGCTCCGTTTGCATTGTAGCCACTCGGCTATTAGCTATTTCCCTATTTCATCCTTCAGACCTTCTGCTACCTGTGCTAACTGGGCCCTTTGCCTGAAATGCACTTTCTCTTAATCTTCCATGTTGAATTCCTCCATTTCCTTCATAATTCTGCTCAGGTGATTATATCTTTAATGAAAACATCACTCTTCTCCCCAGCTAAAATTGATTTCTCTTCTCCCTTTTCCAATGTTTTATTAGCAATTTCTGTGTATTTCTCCTTGGCTCCTATCACATTCTTTTTTGTTTTATATTTGTTTATGTCAGATTGTAACCCTCCTCCAGTAGACTGCAAGCTCACTGATGGCAGAGACAATGCCATTCTTCACCTTTGTTTATACATGTAATAACTAGCACTGTATGATAGATTATGAAATGCTGAACTGAATTGAATCAAATAGTGTGAATCAATGCTATCACAGAGAGAAAAAGAGAAGAGAACAAAGTAAAAAATGGAAAAATTCTGACAAAAGAAGAGCCATTAAAGAAGAATGAGAAGGAATTTCAGTAAGCCGGATAGGTAAAGGACCAACACAGAGTAATGTTGCTGAAGCCAAGTAAGTTGCTGTTCAGTTATTTCAGCTGTGTCTGATGCAACTGATGTCATCTAGGGTTTTCTTGGTAAAGATACTGGAGTGGTTTGATATTTCCTTCTCCAGCTCATTTTACAGATGAGGAAACTAAGTCATATAAGATTAAATGATCTGCCCACAGGGCAGCTAGAAACTGTTTGAGGCCAGATTTAAATTCAGGAAGATGAGTCTTCCTGACTTCAGGCTTGGCACTCTGTCTGCTGCATCACCTAGCTGTCCGAGAAGCCAAGGGAGAAAGTTCAAAGAGGGATGGGGTCGTCAACAACGTCAAGTGAGTGAAAGACAGAATCACAGCCTGTTAAAATCAGAGAAGACATCAGAGGCTGACTATGCCGAAAGGTACCTAAAGAAAAATTCATGTAATGACATTACTTCAAAATGGTTCTTCATTTTGAAATCTCCAAGTGAGGAGAAAGTTGCTACCTGTGGAGGCATCCAGATCCACTTTAGGATAGCTTTCATTGATAGTGCAAAAGGATAAAAACTGACAGAAATTCCTTGGACATAGCAAATAGAAGATAATTGCATGCCCAGATTTTTTTCTTTTGCTTTAGAGGTCCCACTGCTATGAATATGGCCCAATAGTTTCAAAGATAGAAAGAATATATACAAAAATCTTGATAACATGATTTTGTGATACCAAAAACTAGAAAAAAATAGGTGTCTAATGAGTGTAGAATGGCTAGACAATTCACAATGATATGACTATAATAGATTACTAAGACCAAAAGATAGAAACTGTGCCTGTGTTTGTACTTGCTCACTGAGCTCCCAGAGAGAAACATTCACTATCAACAGGGTCAGTACCTTCCATTTAAAATATCATATGAGTGCTGTCTTCTCCATAGGAATGTGAGCAAGACAGGGACCGTCTTGCTTTTCTGATTATATCCTCAGCACTCAGCATCATGCCTTGTATATTATGAGTGCTTAACAAATACGTTTTCGTTCATTCATGCATTCATTATCTGGACATTCTTAACTTATAGGTGCCTAGAGTATTGAGGCTGTGTAACCTTCCCAATGGTCAGAGTGCCAGAATATATCAGAGGCTGAACTTGAACCCAGGCTTTGTTGCTCTAAGGCACATTCTTTATCTATTATACCACACCGCCTTTCTATGATGCCATAAGAAACAACGGAGACAAGAAATTCAGAGAATCATAGGAAGGTGAATATGAACTGATATAGATTGTAGGAAGCAGAACCAGGGAAACAACATATGCATTGATGAGAATGTAATTGAAAAATGCAATACATTGAAATTGAATGCTATGGAATCATAGTGACTAAGTTTGGTCTCAGAGAAGAGATAATAGAATATACCTCCCTCCTTTCAGTGGAGAGGACTATAGGTATGTAACATACTGTCAGACACAGTTGGGTGTTTTGATTGGTTTTAATACCTTGTTTTAAAAATATTTTTAAATGTGAAAACTCAGTTACTGGAGAATATTTGGAAATTAATGCGATAGACAAAACAAAGACATCAATATTTTTAAAAATAAATCACATCACTAGTTGCCTTTGAGAAAGCAACTTCTGAGCAGTATGAAGAGTAAAAGCTAAATTACAAGGGTCTAGGGATTAAGAGGAGGGTTAGGAATTATAGATAGCAGGTGTAGATGGTGTTTTGGAGTTTGGAGGATGGGGAGAAGAGGGAGGCACATGCAGAGAGACATAAACAGAGAGACAAAGGGAGACAAAGATATATATATATATATATAGAGAGAGAGAGAGAGAGAGAGAGAGAGAGAGAACACAAAATTCTCCAGAAGGTTCAAGAAGAGGTTGATTTCATGATTATGGAGATGTTTAGATTGTGATGTTTATTGAACAAGAAAAGACTAGTGAGTTTGGAGACATTTAATGTACAAAAGGGAAACATAAATTTGGAGAGATTTTAAGGTACTAAAGAGAAAGATGATTTGTGAAGTCCAGTCCTGGACATGAGAAGAGAAAGAATCAAAAGAGGAGGAAGAAAGTTGAAACTCAGAAACATAAGTAAAGGCATGGTGGGATGGTGATGGAGAGGTAGAAGATTTTTGCTTTGGATAATCAGAAAACTGAAGGAACTCTCCTTGAGATGGCTTTGTTCTTTTCAGAAGAAAAAAAAAAAGAGAAAGCAAAGGCAACTTCCAATAGTGAAGAGGATAGAAGCAAGGATGGAGGAGAGATGAAAAAGTTTGGAAGAATAACTTCAAATAATTCAATAGGAAAGTGACAAGGAATAAACAAAAGTGTTGCCAGGTAGCCATGGGAGCCCAGTTAAGGTTAGATAACATGAATTTGTAGTAGACCCAGTCAGCCTGATTTTATGACAATCTCCAGCAATGTTTGGCATGCCACAGGCAAGAGCAAGGAAAGGGAAAAGTGTATAGTTCAGCCAGGTTCTGAAATAACCATAGCTGAAATAAAAATTCTATTTTCCTTTACATATCCTTCACATTTCTGACACTCAGTAGCTGACCATAAACTGGAAAAAAAATGAAGGCAGGGCTTTTTGTTTGATATTTTGAGACACTCAGAGGAGTATACTAACTCAGCCAGGTACTGGAATGCTTAAGATGAGGTGCTGGGTTGGCTTTTTGTTTTGTTTTGTTTTGTTTGTTTTTGAAACTAACAGTCTCATTCTTGTGCAGTTTGTAGAAATCCAAACATTGGTCTGAAGGTAGACTGGATGTTAAGGAAAATGAAGTTATTTTTCCCACCATATCAGAGGTTATTAACCTTTTTTGGTTTCACGGGTCCCTTTAGCAGTCTGGTGAAGTCTTTGGACCTTTTCTCAGACTTATTTTTAATTTATAAAATAAAATAAAGAGGATTACAAAGAAAGCCAGTTATATTGAAATATTATTTTTTATGTTTATGTATTCTAGGCTAAGAACCCCTGATATATGTGATAAATAGCCCATTTGTTAAAAGCATAGTTATTGCTATAATAAATGTAAGTATTATATACACAAAGGATGTATGATTTCATCAGTGTAGGGGCCCCCAGTTCACTGTTACCCTAGGGAAATCCCTGCACTGATGTCTATGATGGTAGATAAATTTTATGAATTTGCCTGCGTCGTAGATTTTAAGTGGCTTGCACAGGGTTCCACATCTATTAAGTGTCTGAAGCAGGATTTGAATCAAGTTCTAGTCTCAGATCACACAACCTATTCTTTCTATTATTCCTTGCTGCCTCCCAAATTCTCTAGATGTACTTGTTAATTCAGTATTTTGGATAATTTAGATGTAATGTTATTGATTTCTAAAAGATACTACTCTGAATTGGAAATGACCATGACTTCTATTAGTTTGAAACAAATAGGAAACAGTGAGCCTTAGATTGTGAGGGTATAGATTTCAAAGAACTCAGAGAAGGAATAGGTAGAATCCAATGACCTAAAATTCTTTTAATGAAAAAACTGAATTAAGAGGAATGGAATGTTGTCAAGAGCAAAATTTTGATGACACAAGCACAACTGATTCCAATGAGGAAAAAGGGATGACACTGTCTAATGTGCAGTAGTAACTTACCAAATAAGAAACATTTTAATAAAAACATGAGAGAAGTTCGAAGCAAGGACAGGTAACAAAGAAGTGTCATGGTTCCATAAGAATGATGCCACTAGTACTAGAGTGAACTGAGCCTGGAAATTAGTACAAGGATCCCAAATAAAGACCATTGATTTAGAGTTAGAAGGGGAACCATAGAGATCATTTAGTCTTATTCTCTCTTTTATTTAGGAAAGAAAATGGAGGTCCAGAGGACTCAAGTGACTTGTCCAAGGTCACGCAAGTATGATAGGGATTTAAGCCTGATTCTCTGACTCCAGATGCAGCACATTTTTTAACTATACTTCACTGTCTCTATTGACTTTGGGGCTATGCTAGATGCAAGAGGAAAACCAGAGAAGGTATAGTGGCACTTCTCAGTTTGAATGGAATTCATGATACAGAATGAGCAGAGTCGTTCAACTCTTAACTTATTTCTCTTTTTTTTTCTTTCAAGGAAAAGAGTTTGGAGAATGGACAAATGAACAACAATAGCAACGACAACAAAGGGTCAATATGTAATTAAAAACCAAGATAAGTGCAGGAATTCTTAAGGCAATAAATGAGTTTAACTCACCAGACCCAGATGCAGTAACATAAAATATCTTAGGGCAGATGTGACCACTGAGCTGCTGTCGGTGAACATGGAAAGATCTTGTAGGAAAGGGTGAAGTCTTCTAATTCTGACTTTGATTTCTAGCAGAATTCTGGGATGATTCATTATCATTTAGCGGGGAATGCTATAGTGATTACTAAGCCCCAGTACGGTTTCATCAAGAAGAGAACATATACAGTTATCCCTTCCACATTGCAGGGCTTAGGTGCATGGTGCCCCTGAGACCTGGAAAATCCTCATAAAATTTTTTGGCCCTCCCTTTGTACCAGAGAAAAACACTGAATCATTATGGTATTAAAAGATAAATATGTTGACATTATACAATACTACAAATAGATTTTATGCATTTCTGAGTTTGTAAACTTTTTTGTCATCTACTGGCCTTCATGTGTCATCTGCAGCTACCACAAAACTTCCCTCCAAATTCCCATTCAATTTCTTATGCCAGCCCTCAATATATCAAAACCATGGTGGGGAAAGTTGCAGTGTGGAAGAGATGACTGTGTACCATATTCACTTACATGTAGCAGGCATTTGTTAAGCATTTACCATGTCCTAGGTCAGTCAGTCAATAAATATTTATTCAGCAACTACTCTGTGCTAGGTGCTGGGCTAAGTGCTGAGGCTACAAAGGAATATTAAAGATGGTTCCTGCCCTCAAAGAGTTCATAATCTAATGGGAAAAGACAAAATATAAAAGATGAAAGGGGGGGCACCTGATATCTGCCAAGGGGGCATGATGAAGATCAGAGGAACACAACTAGGTGGGAAATGAGATGGTTACCTTGCACACCTGTCTTAAGTGGAAGAACTCTCCACTGCCCATTTTCTACCCTCTCCAATTAAAGGGAAGGAGGGAAGGGCTGCAGAACCAAGGGTATGAGTTTCAGCATTAATATGGTCTTGCAGAATGATGAAATACTAGAGGGCACAGTATAGTCCAGGAGTACAACCAGGGAGGAAATTATGACTGACTGCCTAACAGATAGAATGTTTCTGGAAAAGGGTGACCAAGATGCTAAGGAGTCTAGGGAACATACCATAACTAGAGGTGTAGTGGACCCAGTCCACACTAGATTGACAGAGCTGATTGTTTAATTTTCAGTATGAGCATTTATATCACAGAAATCAGCAAATGATACAAATCAGAACTTCATTTACTGTTTTTTAATTTTCTAGACTTAAGAAAGTGATAGAGGAAATGTTAATAATGGAGTTTAAACTTAAAAGTATGTAGGGCATATATCTTTTTTTCTGTCTCCTAGAGAGCAGTATGTCAAACATTTACTAGCACACCAGTTAAAGTTAAAGGAACTGGGAATGTTTAACTTGGTGAAGAAAATATTTGTGGGTTGCAGGTTAGAGGCTTAAGAAAGAGATGATAACTATGTTCAAATATGTGAAGAGCTACCATGTAAAAGAGGGGTTAAATTTCTACTTGGCTCCAGAGGGCAGAAATAGAATAAAGGATAGAAGATACTGAGAGGTAGATTTAGTTTTGATGCAAGGACATTTTCCTAACAGCTGTCCAAAGTAGAATGGGATGTCTCAGGAGGTGATGCCTCACTGAAGGTCTTCAAGAGGGGTCTGGATGACCATTTGTTGGGCTGTTAGTAGAAGTAATTGCTGTTTAGGTATGGGTTTGACTAGAGACTTTATATTGCCAGACTACCACCCTGAACAATAGCAGTCTAGGAAAAAAGAAAGCTGAAATAGGAGTTAAGAGGGCTTGAGTTTTAAATCTCATTGTGATTTTGTATGACTTGTGTGACTATGGACATGTCTCTTTACCTTACTAAGACTCAGTCTCCCCATCTGTAAAAATGACATAATAATTACTATAGTATTTGCTTCATGGAGTTGTTATAAGGATCAAATAAAACAATGCACATAAAGCATTTAAAAAATACGAAACCTTCATGTAAATGTTAATTACTATTTTTATTGCCTCTTCAAAATTTGAAGTCCTACAACCCTTTCAAATCTGAATTTTCAAAATAAAAAGAAAGAAAATAATTTTAATGCAAGTTTTCTTTAAAGAGTGAGCTCTTAAGTTATCAAAATTTAGCTCACAAAAATAATGCAAACTTTTTTGTTAAAGAATTTGTTCTTATAATAATAAATGCTTTGTAATAAGTCAATAGAAATTGTAAATGTAATTGACTTTTTCTTATTTTCCTCATTTTTAAACCTTTTAGTACTCGATGTGATATATGCAAAACTTGAAGTTAGGTATTTATGTGACCTTAAACAAGTCACTTAACCTAAACAGGTTAAGTTTCCTAATTAGTGAAGGAGTTGGACTAAATAATCCCTAAAGAATCTTTCTTATCTAAAATATAATGATGCCTGTGTTTTAATTTTAATTAAAACATTTAAATTAAGATTATTAATCTTCCATTCTAAATAATCATCTTCATCTTATCTTTCTAGAGATGCTACTATTACCTTCGTTAACACTTTGCATAGCCGTCAAGCATTAAGAGAAATGCAGAAAAATATATACATTTTCTTTGGTAAAATGAATTAATTCACCTAAAACATACCAGTTTTTAGCAAACAAAACAAAACAAAAACCTGAGTATGTCTGTTCAAAATGCCTTTTTTGAAACATCACTTTCCATTTTCATTTGTATTAGGCACTCAGAGGACTTTTCATGGGAATATCTTTGAGATTAAAGTGTATTTTCTTATTAAACCATTCAAAAATGTGTCTAGTTTCCACAGATATTTTGTAGTTGCTTTTCTTGAGTATCCAATTTGAAGGCTTATGTTTCTCATCTTGTCTAGTGTTCTTAAGTTTAATTCTAAATATATCTACTAGTCAAGAAGAAATCTAGACTAGTAACTTAAATGAAAGGTACTCCGCTATCCAAAGATCCAGAATCTTGTTTCTTTTGAGCCTCCACTGGCTTTAACTGAGTATGTCAAGAGTATGTGCCAAGCAAAAGTTCCATTAGTCTTGCTAACACCCTTTGAAGGACAGAGAGTTCTAACATAAAGGGATCCTGAGAACAGATCAAATGGTTACAGGGTTGCTTGACTACTATGTTAGGTTCAGGCTTCTTAAGGTATTTTAGGAAAATGTGCTTCTCTATTTGCACCAAAATTTGAAGATCCAAACATAAGATTGATTGCAGGGGCCTTGTACAAATTATAGTTTGCAACAAGTGACATTTTATGGAATTGAATATGTTGCTGAATTATATAAAAAAAACTTACCCTGTGAAAGGATTGACTTTCTGTTAACGGCCTCTTCTGCTATTTTATTCACTACATTTTAAAACTTTCTGTAATAGAAAACTCCCTGGATGTGATGTTAGAGAACTTGAGCTCTAATCCCAGACCTCTTACTTATTACCTTATTTTAGGAAAACAATGTAGTACAGTGGTTCAGGAGACAGAGGACCCAGGTTCAAATCATACGTTTGACCTATACACACTGAGCAAGAACCCTAATCTCCCTAGACCTCAGTTTCCCCAACTTTGAAAGGAGGGGGCTGTACTAAGTGCTCTCTAGGTGCCTTCCCTGAACTGGATATGTGATTGTACCTCTGTAGATTTGAACAGGTCATTTCATCCATTACTGGGGGCCTCAGTTTTTTCATCTGTGAAAAAGTCAGGGTTTGACCTGATGACCTCTGAGATTTTAAAATCCTGTGATAGGACTGATGGAACTATGACAGATTCTTATAAAACTGATGTCAATTTGGTGACTTGAGAATACTTAGACTTCCAAGTAAGGCATACTTAGATTGGTTTCGCCCATTGATTTCTGTTGAGACAGACTTTTTAGTGCAGGAAAGAGGCAATGTGGTGACATGAATAGAGAACTAGACTCATTGTGAAGACTTAGATTTGTATCATCCTTCAGGCACTAACTGTGTAATGCTAGACAAGGAGCTCAATCTTTCATTCTCAGTTTCTTCATTAGTAAAAATGAGGATAATATCACAAGGTTATGAGGATCAAATGAAATAATGCACCTAAAATGCTTTGTGAAACATAAAGTGTTATATAATGTTAGGAATGATGATCATGATGATGGTGATGATTATGACTATGATGATAATGATGTTACTTGGAGGCATTTATTTCCTATGAATTAAATAAAAGAATTGAAAGTTTTATATTTTGCAGTATAAATCAATATAAGGACATGGGTTATAAGCTATGGAGCTCTAAGTGAAGCACAGGAATTGATTTGTAATCATTAGTATTCATTCATTAGAATGTAAGCTCCCTGAGAGATGCAGATTTTGCTTTTCATTGTAACCACAATTTTCTGAAAGTTTCTAGCATGAAGTAAATGCCTAATAAGTGCTAATTGACTGAGTAGTTAAATTTAAAATCTCCTCCTACTCACGGAAAATTTATTGTTCTTGTAAATTAAAATACTCCTAACTCACTCTTTCCTTCTAAACCACCTTAGGCCAAATTCCTCCTGAAATTATGGCTTCCTTCTTGCTCCTATTTCTATTATTTCTTTTCTCAATAATTGGTGAACGTATTTGAGCTAAATGTGGTTGAGACCTCATCAAATCACTGTCTACCTCAGGCTTTAGAAAATAAGGCAATGAAAATATAGACTTTTCAGTGGTTGAAGAAAATTGCTCTAGGGTCATATTGGATAAAGATATAAGACAATAAGAGGTTGAGAAAGAGGCATGAGAATGAATAGGATTGAACCTTATAAATGTGAAAGAATATGTTTTTTTTTTAAGTGCGACAATTTAATTTCCAGAATTGTTTCATGGAACAAGGAGTTTAATAGATATATCTATACTCCTCTCAGTGGTGATTACTGAATCAAGTCCTCTCTAGTTTTAATCCCATTTCATCTCTAAACCCTTGGGTTAAATCCCTTAACCTTTCTGTGTCTAAATTTTTTCATTAGTAAAATGAAGCTAATAATTTGTATCTCAATAGAATACTGTGTGGAATAAAAGTGCACTGGAACTACTTTGTCTAATGATGGTTTGGCAGCATCTCCCTTAGCAGTTAATAACAATAAAGTCTGTCCCCTGCTCCATTCATTTATACTTTACATAATTTGAGAGTTGGAAAGAACCTCAGAGACTGTCTGCTCTGATGTGTGACAACCATATGTCCAGCAAGTGGGTATCCCACTTAAACACCTCCAGTGAGGGTCAACCTACCATCTCCTAAAATAGCCTCATTCACTTTTGGAAAGGTTCAG